GAGCCTGTCACTGCCGCTCAGCTGCCACTAGGGGGAGCTGAGCAGAGGCTGGAAGGAATGGACACCTGGGGAACATGGTGGAACTCTACATACCTGGCTGTCCTCCAGGTCCCCTCTTGTCCTATGTAGGTAACAGCATGGTGCCCAGTTCACACACACTCTGCAAACAGGAATGTGCACACACCTGAAGCGGATGTCCAGTGAGTTTTCACCCACCAAGCCCTGTGCTGGATGCTAAGGTGCACTCGGTCTAGAGGGGTAGGTAGACGAGGAAAGAGGCAATCCAACCTGGAGCTGCTGCATCGAGCATTCAGTCCCCTAGCAGTGTCTGAGAGTCTTTTTCTTCAGTGCTCCACTGTTACGATTTTGGCTATAAAACTGTCCGTCTCCCATCCTCCGTTTCTCCATCTTTAAAATGGAGGGACAACACCTATGTCTTGAAAGGGCCTTCTGATTCAGTTGTGCCATGAACCTGCCTCTTGTTCCTAGAACAAGCCCTGAGCTTCCCCATAAGAGACCCCCCTCCCAGCTTTAGTCACCCATCTCCTTCCTCTTCTCCCCTCCACATTCCCTCCTTACATGGCGTTCCTTGGCATTCTGCCTCTGGCCTTCTTCCTCTCTGTCTGCATATGTTCCCATGACTTCAGTTACCACTAAGTGCTGGTGAAACCTACATCTGGATGCTCAGATCCATCATTGAGTTTGTGGCTCATAGTAATGAAAATAATGGGCATTTGTTAAGTCCCAGATACAGTACTGTAATTTTGACATGCATCTCATCTCATCTCCCCAACAACCTGTGAATTAGGCAATGCTGCCCCATTTTTTGGATGAGTAGAACTGAGTTCAAGAGACACTGAGACTGGCCCAAGGCTCCAAGGTTCGTAAGTTATGGGGCCAGGATTTGCAATCCTCTGTTTGCAGACCTGTGGTCTCACCCTCCACACTCTATGTCCTGGAGTATAGCCAGCCACCAAAGACACTTTTCTACATGATATTCTATTGATATCTCAGTTTCGACATGTCTAAACTAGGCCTCATCATTTCCCTATCCTCTGCCCCAATCTACCTTTTTCTCCATTCTCCATCACAATACGCAGTATCATCAGCCCAGTGATGTCCAAGCCAGCATCCTGGGGGTTTTCCAAGATCCTTCCTCTCCCTGGCTCCCCAGCATTCAGTCTTCTTCCAAGTCGTAGTAATCTCTCCTTCCCCCACAGCACATACACTCTTCTCCAACATCACCGCTATTACCTTCTAAGGTCATCCTCTCCTGTCTTTGGGCTCCTGCAGCAGTCTCCTTACCATTCCCTCTGCCTCTTCTCTCTCTGGTCCAGTACATCCCCTATATACTGGCCAGCATGCAAGCACACGTGTGATCACATCAGTTTCCTGCTTCAAACCTGCCACTGCACTCCATGGCTCTACAGCAGAGCTCAAAGCTGGCCACCCATGGGCTGAAATCCATGTCCAGAAGACATGTTTTGGTCGGTCCATTGAATGTTCTTAAAACACTTTGAATTAGTTGCCAACATTTTAAAAAAATCAGGAAATTCCACATAAAAGTTCTTATTTATGGCTCTTCTTATAAAAGTGAAAAAACTAGTGACTCTAGACCCACATCCCTGCAGGGCAATGACTGAATGGAGCTGAGTGGCAGTTGTCCCCTTTAGAAGTGGCAGAGGCTCTTGGGTTTATCTATCTCCAGCATCCCCCAATGTTTCTGAGATCCTGGTCACACGTCTGATCACCTGTCTGATACTTGAGGCATTTGAGCTCATGGCCCTGCTGCAGGAGATGAAGGCTGACACCCTCAGTATGGCTCCTAAGGTCTACATGACCCAGCCTGGAGCAGACCAGCCCTACCGACCTCTGAGTCTGTTCACCACCCATCTCATACTCTCCACTGTGTCTCGCCCACAGCTCTCTGAATTACCTCTCTCATACCTGCCTCCATTCAAGCTGCTGCTTTGAAATGCCCAGGCTCCTCCTCAGTTCCTATTTGTCCTTCAGGACTCCACTTCAATGCTCCCTCCGCCAAAAAGAATTCTCTCTCCCACCCGCCTGAGCCTTGTCTTCTCATAACAGGTGGCACAGACCTTCATCATCTCACCAACCACACTGTGTTATAATTGTTGATTGTGTGTCTGAGCCCACAAGGAGCCTGTCTCCCTCACTTCCCATCCCTAAAACTTTGCACAGGACTTGAAGCATATACTAGAAGCGTTATAACTATTGAATGAATAGATGCACCAGTGAAAGACTGACTTGGAAAAAGAGTACTCCAGGATGTGCTATCACCCTCTACTTGCTTGAGCTGAGGAGTTCCAGGTGTCTTTCGTTCCTTAGCACCCCCTCGCCCCATGCAGAGGGGCACCTGTGGCATCCTAGAAACCATGGCCCTGCTATGCAAGCCATGGTGTACATAGAAGCCTACTGGGATGGTAGTTCCTAGCAGTGATGTTGGGAGAATATATCATTTGGGGTGTTCCTGGGTGGAGGAAAGGGTCATTCAGTAGTTAAGAAATGGCACAACCATTGGATATGGTGCATTTTTCTATTATGTGAGAAAAGTTGTGATGATAACGACAGCATCTAACACCCATTGAACCACTTCGATGGTACCATACCCTGAACTAAGATTTCCTTGCTATATTGTTTCATTTACCTCTTCACAACAATGCAATGCAAGTACGTGGTAGCATTATCTTCATCTCCCAGGCAAGCAAACTGAGATTGGGGAAGTTTATTTTATTTTATTTTTTCTTTTTTTGAGACAGAGCCTCAAGCTGTCACCCTGGGTAGAGTGCAGTGGCATCATAGCTCACAGCAACCTCCCACTCCTGGGCTCAAGCGAGTCTCTTGCCCCCGCCTCCCAAGTAGCTGGGACCACAGGCGCCCGCCACAACGCCCGGCTATTTTTTGGTTGCAGCCGTCATTGTTGTTTTGGTGGGCCCAGGCTGGATTCGAACCCACCAGCTCAGGTGTATGTGGCTGGCGCCTTAGCCACTTGAGCCACAGGTGCCGAGCCAGAGATTGGGGAAGTTTAAACAGCTTTTCCAGGATCCCACAGCCAGTAAGTGGCAGAGTCAAGATTTAAACTTAAATCTGTCTTGCCTTCAAAGTTAAAATTCTCGACCACCACGCCATAGTTCCTCAGTGACATATGTCTTTAAAAACATGAAGAAACAAATGGGAGAAATGAAGGATATAGAAGTATATGTGGTAAGATTGCAATTATTATTTTCAAAGAGAGAAAAAAAGCAAATCCTCCAGCGTAGAGAAAATGACCAAGGAAACAACCCAGAGCGCTCGGGGGTGTTTTTCTTCTTTTCCTCCATCTTGTTTCTACTTTTTAACATTTTCCAAATTTATTTTTATTATAATATGTCCTTTTATTTTTAAAAAAATCTTCTCTTTGTAATGGCCCCAGCATCAAGTGGCAGAAGAGAGGTCAGGAAAGGGCTGATTTAAGTACCCACCTAATCAGTGGAACTGTCTCTTGAGTAGCTGTCACTGATCCGCAAAAGAGATGCTCAGGTTGCAGCTGTGACCTCACGACCTGTACCCTCATGGGCAAAGGACGAGAAGTGGGTCACCATTGCTGCTGTCTCACCATCTCCCCTCTTCCTCCAGGTGCTTATACCCCAGAGCCCCTCAGCAGTTTCCGGTGGGCTCTTCTCTCAACGGGCCTCATGTTCTTTTATCACTTCAGCGTCTTGCAGATCCTCGGCCTGGTAAGTGTGATTATATCCCCTTCTATCCCCTCTGTTTGGAGTTCTCCATAAATCTTGATAATCCTGATTGGCACTGGTATATGGTATTGTTTTGAAAATCCGAGATGCTAAAGGCCAGGATGTCAGATTGTTGTGTCTGGGTTGCTGATTTATGATCCACAGCCTTGACCTCTCCAAAGAGTTTTCTGAATCCTTCAGTAATGACGATTTCATCCCTGGGGAGGCAAGAATGCCCTTCACTCATGGGCGCTTGGGTCGCAAACAGTGAGCTGCCATGGGAAACTGGCTGGCTATGGACCCCATGGGGAGGCAGGGCCTTGGCTCCAGGCCTGGGGGAGGCTTCTGACCTTGGTATTATCCTGAGCCTGCTCATGGGTCCTGAAGGCTGGGCTCTGTCCTGAGCTGTGTGGCCAGTGGAAGTGTGGTGTTGGGGAACCCTGTGGTATTCTGGGGTGTTTAGAACTGCCTGGAATGGGAAGAATGATTGGACTCAGTAATTGAGTTATCCAGAGCCCAAGATTGCTGAGTGCAATGGTGTATATCAGTGGCAAAGCAAGTAGAAGAGCTCGAGGCTGAGGCTGGGGGTCCGGAGACCCAAGTTCAGGTCCTGGCTCTGTGACTGTTCTGAGTGAGTCACCTCACCCTCGAGGGCAGAGAGTTCTCTGCCTCTCTGTGACATGGTATGAAAAGCCCCAACCTCCCTGAGAGGTGGTGAGGACTTGTCTTTAATGTGAATGGGCTTGAAGGGCTTTGGAAGGCAGTGCCGTGGCCGTCCTTGGGACAGGAGTGGCATGTCTGGTTTTGCGTGCGAGTGGCATTAATATAGCATTCGCTGTGTGGAACCTCGCGCGACCTAGCATAACTAGGGCATGTAAGCTATGTCCCCAGCGCCTTTTTAGAACCAGTCACTTTCTGTTCCCTACCCTGGTGTATGACTCTGCTCTGGTTTGCCAGGGGTAGTCTGAGCTCCTTGCCAGCAGTGTGAATGATGCTTCCTGCGCCCGTGGGAGGAGGCAGCACGATGTTCACACCTACCTCTCGCTGCTGTCCACTGGGATCCTTGATTCCAGAGGCGTCAGTGTGCTCATGTCACCCTACATGCCATGCTCAGGCCATGCTGGCCTCCAAGGAAGGCTTTGCTCTCACCCCATTCCTCACCATAACCCCCGATCCATCTTCCATGAGTCCATTCAGGTGCCATTTCCCTCGTAAAATCTTCTCTGAGGACTCAACCCCGACTCTGTGTGCTCCTCAGACCTCCTCATGGTGTGTAAAACTTGGTGAGCACCGTCTGGTTTGAGGTCAAATGTTGTAAACTGATCACTCCCAATTAGTTGACTGCCAGTTATGGAGAGGCAGGGACCATGCCGTTGACTGAACTTCTAGCCCGTGACACCTCTCCGTTGACTGCACTTCTAGCCCATGACACCTCTCCAGGGACCAGGTACATAGTAGATGCTTAGGAATGGCACCGGGCTCTAGGCCTAACTGGAAGGCAAGACTCTGAGCAAAACTGAAGAGCTTTTTCACTGGACAGCCTTCTCCCATCACTTCCAGAGGGTTCTAGCCTTGACTCACTCAGAAAACCCAGGGGAGAGAAGAAATTCCTCTATGAACAGGTGGGGATTGGTCAATCCCTCCTTGTCTAGTTCCCCATTAGGTAGAGATGGCTGAGCTGGCAGAAGCCAGAGAAAGCCTCAGGATGGCGAACGCTCACTCTACCTCCCTTGTCCCTGCAGGTCACCGAAGTGAATTTGAACAACATGCTGTGTCCGGCCATCTCAGACCCATTCTACGGCCCCTGGTATCGCATCTGGGCCTCGGGACACCAGACTCTCATGACCATGACCCACGGGAAGCTGGTCATCCTGTTCTCATACATGGCTGGGCCCTTGTGTAAATATCTGCTGGATTTGCTCCGGCTTCCAGCCAAGAAAATAGACTGAAGGTGCTTGTTTTTTTTTTTTTTCTCTCCCTGAGGAAGCAAGTCCCGACTTGACTTGGAGAACACCCAGTTCTTGATGAAATCATGGGAGAGGGCAGTAGGATGTTTGGTGTATTTCTTTTTCCTTCTTTCTGTCCCTTTCTTCCACCATTCTTCCTTCCCCAGCTCTTCCCCTCAGGAAGCCTCTATGAACCTGGGGTGTAGTGCTGGGGACCTAGATTTTCCCTCCTTCCCTTTGGCTCTTTCTCTCTGCTCCTAGTGGCCTTACATGGGGAGATCAGAGTCAGTGGCTCTTCCGCTCTGCTTGTTGGTGCTTTAACAACAGCTGGTTGAGGAGAAAGGGAACAACGAGCAGTAGTTCTTTGGGCGTCAAAGCGGCAAGATGGGGCTATGTTTCATCTCTCCACTGCCAGGGACCTCCAGGCTTATGCTGGGGTCTCCTTTGGTCTCCAGCACTGGCCCCACTGTGAGGGGGCTGAGGCCTTCTTTCTATACCAGCAGCAAACTCAGAGCCAAGGGATTTCCCAGCTCATGGTCAAAATAGAGCCAGCCAGATTCTTCTCACTGGTGTCCCATGACTCAAAGCAAGCAGCCAGCCAGCCACTCCCTGCATAGGGTGCTGCCTGGGGTGGGACATAGGAGTGTCACTCCACCCAAGGGCCAGATTTCACTGAGGGGTTTGGAAGTCTATTGCAGTGACAAATCCAAAGCAAAGAGGGTCAACATGCAGCATAGCACTAGGCAGGGCCCTGTGGAAAATCTGCCCGCGAGAGCTGGGGACTGACCTACATCACATCCTAATCAGAAATGAGCACAGAAATTAATCAACAGAAGTGGTAACTTGAGAAAACTGTGATTTGAACCATACACTCCATTGGAGTTCAATGTCGATAGTAGATACCATTTTAATCTCAAGTGCCCCTTAAATGTATTCTCTTGTGTTCTTTCTCTTGCTGGTGTGCGCTTTCTCTCTTTCTCTTAGGCAGCTTTAGGGAAGAATGAGCTGGAGTTGGGTGGCTGGTCTTGGGGATGTTTGTGTTTGGAGAGCCCTTGTGTCAGGGCCAGTTGGTGGAAGGGTTCCCGTAGATCCGTGTGTTGATCTTACAGGGGATGTCAGCGGCTGGGGTTTAGGGACACAGAGTTTGTTTCCTGAGTGCCCGATTCCTTCGGTGGAGCTAGACTAAGTGCTGAATTGTTTCACGTGGAGGGCATCACATGCCTTCCACCCTGCACACCCCTCCCAAAAGCCCAGGTCTAGGTCAAAAGGGGGCTGCCAAGGAACCAGATCCCTGTGGGTGGAGGTTCAAGCACTTTGAAAGAAGGACCTATTGTTGAAGGACTTCAGTTCAGTCAGGGGCCTCAAGACGGGAGGCAGAGAGTAGGCATTTGCCGACTCTTTGTTGACTCCTAATACTAGGGCCAGATCTGCCTAAGAACAGAAGAGATCATTCAGTGACCAATGATGAGCCTCCCCTCCCCCACCCTAGGTGACTCAGTTCCCCTAGGCCAGTCCCAGTATTTCAAGTTTGACTGTGTTGGATCTACATTGAGCTTCAGTGACTCGGTGGTCATGATTTTAGCAAATGGACCTGCAGGACGCAGTAGAAAGCGGAGAGTCTCTCTGAGTGACCTGAGACCCAGGGTCGCAGCTTTCGGAGCAACTGCACTGTGGCAGAGGCCTGCTCGCACTGAGACGATCAGTCCCCAGGGCATGTGGCGGGTGGCGCAGGTGGGGAGAACATTGCATGCTCTTGCTCCCCAGGAGCTCCTTGTGACTGGATCATCTTTGTTTTCTTCCCTCTTTGAGGGATGGGCCAAGCTTTTCTTAGTGCTTCTTGCCCTACAGTTGTCCCCCAAAGAGGCATCTCTTTAGTGGCTGGGTAGGGCCTGCCTGCCATCACACCGCTGTGCGTAGGAATGGCTGGTGAGGAAATGGACAAGGCCTCAGTGCCCCTTGGCCTCCTTACAAAAGGAGAGGTTGGACAGAGATTGTGGGAGGAGCCACTGGGGGCCTGTCCTGTCCCCTATTAGAACATGGAGTTGCTGGAGGCTGATCATCAGTATCTCAGCTGGGGACCAGCTCTGGAATGCCACAGTGATATGACGGTGTAGGCCCTCTCCTCCTCCCTGTCTCTGTGGCATGGCACAGCTCGAGAGGCCATGCAGGCTCTCCCCACACTGGGACACCTCCCAAAGCTCACCTGTGGCCTGGCACCCTATTCTGGTGGGCACTTTTGGGTGCTCAAAAGTAGAGGAAAAAAAGTGAAAGCCGCATGCCTGGCATGACCAGATGAGAGACAGATACACCTGTCAGGAGTGTGGCAGAGTGAAGGGGACGTGCGAGGGTTCTGGGGTCCAGGTTGGCTCAGAAACATGTAAGTTGAAGGAACAGAGAGTGGGCCCAGTCCACAGGCTCTGTGGGCAGGTGTGTCCTGTACTAGGGGTGTTGGGGAGCAGCCGACATCTGAACTGGTCTTTGTCTTACTCTTACCTTTGGCTAAGCCCATGTGGAGAGAGGTAACCTGGGCAGACCCCTGGCCAGCTGCCTTAGCCCATAGCCCCGTATCTGCCCAGCAGCCCACCTCCTACTGACCCAGCTTTGGGACAGGAGTAAGGGAGAAACTGCAGTTTGCACACCCAAAGCCCATTGAGACCCAGACTTCCCAGCTCCTCCCTAAAGCTTTCCTATCAGTGCCAAGGCAGTTCCTCAAACACCCTGGCCAAGTTTCCGTATGCCATTTGCCAGTGTGTGGGAGCTCTGCCTGTGTGAGAGTGTGTTTGTAGTAGAGGACGGTTTCCTTTCAAACAGCCCTAGGAAGGGAAAAGAGCATTCCCTCAAGCCCCTTAGGTAGCCTTGGCCAAGGATCTGGGCAGCTGAGAACATTCTGTGGAGCTTGTCAGCTCACAGCTTCCACTCTGAACAGCAGAGAGACGGTAGCACCTGCCTGCAGCCCTCCCCACCCTGAGTGTTTGTACACCAAAGACCATCTGGCGCATCTTCCTCCTGGAGGCACAGTGACATGTTCCTCTGCTAGCTGCAAGCGCACGCGGGGTTCCAAAGCCACAGACTCAGTCTCCCACAGTCAGCAGCCTTTCTTTCTCCTTGGGCTTGCATTCACAGAAACTACTCACAGGGTCACCGGCCTAACCGGGACAATCGGCGCACTATGTCATACAGTACCTCAGTCTAGCAGTCGGGTCATTCCGCATCCCTTTTGCTATAGCCTCCATCAGGACTTTGATATTTGTGATCATTGGTAATTCAGCGTCTTGGGAAGGGGACGCAGCTCCCCATAGAAAGCAATTTTCAGTCAGCAGGTCTCGGGGCACTGGTGTGAGGGAGGGAGGAGCGGCGTTCTGGGGGTGAGCTGATGCCCCAGAGGGTGGCAGAAGGGCCCTTTCTCCTCCTCCCTCTGCCAAAAAGATTTCCCAGGGTTTGTGGACATTGACCCAGAATCATCTGGTTTCTGCTGAAGAGGAGGCGGGAGATGAGGAATAAAGGACTGTGTGTGCTGCTGTTGGAAATGACAGTGATGCTGGTTGAGGTCAGTCAGGAGCAGGTACACAGACGGTTGCCAGAAGGCCCTCGTGGGCTCCATGGCGAGACCCTGGGCTGGGAAGGGGCTACCCTCACTGCCCACCCTGCCCTCACCCTGGGTAGAGTCAGCGAGAGGGAGGGAGCCTTCCCCTCGTGTATATAGAGTGAGCCAATTCGTGCTCAGGAAAACCTAGTCGCTTGTTGTCACTCTTGTCTGTGACATTTTTGTACGCTGGTTTGCTGCTCATGGCACAAAACAGGACAAAACCCCATGAAAACCCAACAAAACAAGTCTTTTCAAACAAAGCTATTGTTTTGGAAACTCTTGCTTTCATTTGGTGTCAATTTTGTGTTGTATTTGAAAGAATTCTTCAGTTATATTGTAGTAATGATAGGCTGACCTGTAATTATTTCTTGCAGAAACTTGGCAAATGCCTCTGCCCCTCCCTCTTACCCTGCCCGCACCCCGTTTTCTCTCGCTTCCAAGCTGGGATTACTGTGCACTGTGTAGACCCCACTCTGCCCCCCGCCCTGCCCCCCAACACACACACACACACGCAGGGGCTCCCTTCAGAACCAGTCTTTATAATTCCCCGAAACAGCAGCAGGGTGAATATTTTTTTCTGGCTGGTTCTTGGGCGTTCTGTACCCCCACCAGTTTGCTCACCTCTTGGGGTGTTTTGTAATGTGTTTTCTCCGTTTTGTAAAACCTTTGGATTGTACTGAAATGGTTTCTGCAATCACCTTTGGAAATAAATGGTCATTAATTTGTGTACTTAGCATTCTGAATTTTAGTCTCAGGTGTTTCTGTTGTTGCAAATCCCCGAATGAAAAGGAACCCTCACCACAGGACTTCATTGTTACAATGTTTTCTTCATTTACTATGATTAAAAGATTTATGACAACCCAGGAGTCCTGGCCTTGCTTCCCAGAACCCCCTTAGAAGGCCCTCTGCTTTGAAAAGTAGACAAAAGGGGCCATTGGCCTGCTATACCGTGGAAGCCCCACAAAGGACAGCCGGGCCCCGTAAGCATAGCTGGGCCTTGACAGCCGTTTGTCTGGCAGCCGTTTGTCCGACAACTGAGTTCCCCTGCACTGCCTGCTTCCTCCAAGGCTGACAGGACCTGGCAGGCCTTTTGCTCTTACCAGGGATTGTCTGCTGGGCTGTCTGGCCCTTAGGATGCTCAGGGCCCAGTTGGATGACTGAGCCAGAGAAGGCAACTTTGAAAGCAAATACATTTGGCCCCGCTCAGCCCAGGTCTCCTGAGGGCCAGCTCAGTGCCAGCACTGCATGGCAGCACAGGCCCAGCGAGTGTCACACTGTGAGCAGGATAGTCCTGCCCTTGGGAAACAGCCAGACCTGCTCTCCAGGGCTACCCTCTGAGCACCTCATGGGAACCGATTGGCCCAGCCTGCTCAGGCTTTGCCTGTTTGCTCCTCCTAGAAGGGACAGAGGCAGAGCGGCACCCAGTGCAGGTGATCTCCTCATCTGCCCGTGAGCGGGGGACTCAGGCTATGAATAGGGTAGGGCCTTGAGTCCTGGCCTAGAAAACTACCAT